GCGATGGATAAATCTTGCAAAGAAAAATTCAGCTGGTACGCTTATAAAAAAAATTGATGTTTGCAGAAACTATTCTAAATATTCGCAATAGTTAAAACTTTAATAGCAAATTAGAGTAAAATTTTGATGTAAAAGTTTAAGTTATTAATAAGCTGTAAAAAGAAGATAAGTATTAATCGATACATTAATTTTTGTTAATTTAAGTAAAAAAACGCCAAATCTGAGAAAATATGCAATTTGCATATTTTACAATTTATAGTTTATGTAATGTAACAACCAACAATCGCGTGCATTCCACACTATCAATTCCACAATTTGCAAACTTTTAGTGATCTTAAAATATAAGAAAAATATATTACTATATTATAATCTGAAATTTTAAGAATACAACCATCTTGAACCCAGATCAATTTCACCGGCTATTTTAATACCATCGGTCTCTCCCCTTCTCACCCGTGCGATGCCCATTTCCGTTTAATGTTCCCTCGTGATCCTGCTCTGCATGCGGCAACCCCTGTCTTTCCACCCCGTACATGCTCTTTCATCTGCCTATCAAATGAAGGAAATTGCGCATAGTGGGAAAATATTTGTTCTGCGACGTGATATGTATATCCATAGAGATATACTAGTCAAACGATAATAATTCACGCTGAATACGCGAACGGGAAATTATTCGGGCGTCGCCCTGTCAATCTTAACGCGGATTAGAATATCCGCGAGAAAGCATTTAATCGCAGTTCATCTTTGTTATTAAGATTCACGTGTGCAAGTTTTGCGGGCTGCATTTTCGTGACGAGGGAAATACGTCGATTATAAAAGAAGTGCCTGTAAAAACGAGAGATTCAAGAATACGCTGAATTGAGTATGATATCTTCTTAATAAAAATTTAAACAGAAATCACCGTCCTTTGCCATTTTAAAACTTTTAACATTGAATAGCTTAATAATAAAGTTAAATTCTTACAAAAATAAAATACGTGCAAAATTAACTTAAATTAAATATTTATCCTTTTTTACATTGATATCTACCAAGATAATATTTAATATTAAATAATCGTATAATTAATTCTCTATTTTAAAGGAAGATCAAATTCGTTAGAAAGAAAGCTATTAACTCTTATTCTGGGATACTCCACAAATATCAAATTCGAACAGCAGTTCAGACTAGAATTTCGAGTTAAGAAAAATAAAATATAACATTTTCTAACTTTAGTAAAACTTTATTTATGGCAAATCTTTTATTTTTAATTGTTCAAAGTTAAAAATCAACTTTTATCTTTGCATTTCTATAGCAAATAGAATTCGTAGATGAAAGAAACTCCCGAAACGTTGCAACGTGCATCGTGACGATTACGTGTGTGCAAAACTTGCGCTTTTTCCCATCGCGTAGAAAAGGCGCGCAATAAAACCGAAAGAACTTGCCCGACGTATCGCGTAACTCGTAATCCTCTGAAAGCATTCGCCCGCCGCACCCCGACGGCGTCGACGATTTCGCCAGTAAGTGTAAGGCCAATGAAGAAACAATGATGACACGCGAGCGCCGCAACTCTATGGAGATTAACGGATACAAAACGAAAAACGTCGGGCAATAAAGGCGTGGGCTTCAAAAGATCACTGACGAACTCTGCTTATCATTCCGCGGCTGTAAGCTTGAGATCGAAACGAATAGAGAAGCAAGAGAACGAACTTCTCACAAAACTAGACCAACGAAGTAATATCGGCTGCTGAACTTACTGAACCATCATGGCAATGGATACTTTTTATTCTTCATCATAAAGCTGTGCGCGGTATCGAACGAAAAGTACAATCATATTTTCCATTATATTTGATAAAGTTATATATATAATCCTCCCGTTTCACAAGTTCCATATTTTCTAAATCCGAAATTTAATTTGCGTTTAATTGAAAAGCTATTGTTCTCTCCAAAATTGTACAGCTGCTGTTTTCACAATTTCAATCAATTGATTCTAGAAAGTATAAGAATAGAACAAATTGCGTATTTTCATCTTAATATTTCAGTTTCATTATATATTATAAATTTCTAATCAATATTCTAGATTTGATGGAAATTTAAACATTTTAATTTAAAGTTAACTGCATTAATAACTGCACTTTGCTGCTTCTCATTGAAAGTTGAAAGACTATTAAAAGATTTTTAATGAAACGCTCTTTTTTTAAAAATGTTCGCAACATTTTCATTTTTTTTTCTGTGGCATAATATGCAAAGAAGAGGTGTATTAAAAAAACGGCAAACAAGAGAAGCATGCCGAGGTCGCAGCAACGCGGCATCAGTAATTAAGAGTTATATTGGCCGCAGTGATCAATAACGAGGGTAATCGTCTAGGATAAAAATTCAACATTACTCGGAATATTTTCTTATATGCACAAGTGGTTACCCGCCGATATGCAAATTAGCAATCTCTGCAAAATCCAGTTGGACTATGCAAAACAAATTTGATTTTAATCCTTTAGAGTAATAAATATAACGGTACTAAATATGGCCGCTTGCTGTTACCGAATCGATGATTTATATTAATTTTCCGGCAGCTATATAAATTATTTGTTCTGGTTCGTAATTTCAGAAAAGCCGGAACTACAATGAATAAATTTCGTTTTCAACTTCACACAACAGAACATATCCACTAATTAGCGGATAATCTCCATTCAGCAAAGTCATGAATAAAGTTCGTTCATTACATTGTTAATTGCTCATTTATTATGAACCAATGAAATACAGATGTAGCTTCTAAAAAAATGGAAAATCTCATAGCTGTCAATTTGCTGAATAATTACATCGATATGTCATAGACCATCGGTGCGATTAGCGAATAATCAAATTGATATACGCCGCGGACAGTCACTAATGAACGTATTATTAATGTAATACGTCCATTTTCCTAAATCGCAGATTCAAAGAGCGATATTTCTGCTCTTCACAAGCCGCTCCGAGCTATTCAAACTTCCTCCGGTAAATCAACGCGGCAATTAGCATGCCATTCGAAGATTCATCGATATTCACGATGGCCGTCGTAATTCGTCATTCGATACAGTCGAGATCGCGCGAAATAGACGTCGAGATATTGCCGCGCCCAAGCACAATAACGGAGAGAGATCGCGCCTACAAACGCGCTCGTTAATCATCCCTGACGTTTGCGCCTCCGTGAGATTCTTTCTTTCTCTTTTTTTTTCCTTTCATCGCACTTCGCGTTCGGGAGAACGACTGTTGTTTCCAGCGTAAAAACTCGTAGGTTTTTCTGAGAACGCACTCAAGCCGTACTTACATCTTCCTCGAGTTTGTTTTGACCGTTGCAATAAAGCCGCGAGCCACTTTACAGAAGCGGAGAAAATAGATTCGAGAGAAGAGAGAGAGAGACGCGCGCGCGGGTCCCAATCCGACATACTCCGCACTTCACGGAGCAAACATATGCTGAGTGTTTCGTAAAGTTCACGCGATCAAACTTCAGATATTCTCTGAATTTATCAAGCAATCCGCAAAAGAAGAAGTTTTGCGCAAGCCTTATAAAACGCGCAATATATTTCTAGTTTCTCATCTTCCTTGTCAGATCAGACCATTACTCCGCAAAAATTGCACTGGATAATTTCTCATAAATTTTTCAGATTTTAATTAATAATTAAGAGTTGACCGTGTAATAATTTGGTGTGAATCAGACTTTAAATAAATTTTTCTCACTATTTAAACTTTTTAATCCATTGTTAACTTAAACTTTTTTGCAATTTAGAAACTTTCTATTGTATTTTAGCATTTTTGCTAAAAGTTTCACTCTATTGTTACCTCTGCCATTCACATGTTGAATTTTGCGCACAGATGTTCGTGATCATATTAAAAAGAAAGAGAGTAAGGAAAAATAATGAAAGAAACACAGGACAGATGTCATTGTTACTTGTATGACAGTAATTACACTTATCCCCAGTTACTTTCCGGCCGGCGCAATAAAGTCGTGCTTGTGTTTTGCAAAGAGATATATTTATAAATGGTATATAAATGAAACTTGTGTCCTCTGACTTACGACGTTAATTTTTCAATTTGTCAAAATTGCGGACGCTAAAAACTATGTAGCAATTATCAAACGTTGATTAAAGTAAAAATATATAATTAGCGATATTTTTCTACAGAAGTTGAAATAATGATAATAATATTTAAAAAATGCAATATTTACTTTGTCTAATTCTTATCTTCGACTTGAGTAAAAATAAATCCATGCGAAAATTAATAGCGAGAACTGCCTTAACTATTCCGATGCTGATTATATAGCATAAAAAAAGAAAATTCAGTAGTGTTTAACAGTAAAAAAAATATTGTATCTAACAGTTTTTACGATGAAACATAAAATTTATAGGACCCAGTTCTGCTTTTAGTAGCGCTTATTTCTCCAACGACAAATACTCGCGAAACATTTTCATCGTGGTCCCATGGCGGGACTTACTTCCGTCCTCAAGTAGCCTGCAGTCACCGCAATAAGACCGTGTTTGAGTTTTCAAGAAGATAAATTCAGAAAGTCTACGAGTAAAAGTAATCCTTTTAGACATTTTATCACGCAAATCGTAGAAAAAATGTAGACTTAAACTCTCTTTACTTTTCGCTTAGTATTACGAAGGAAAAATTAGTCCTTCAATGTAACATTTTCACACTTCACACTTAAACGTGATTCAAGCTACTAAAAAACATAATAAACTCTAATATCAATACAAAATCGTTTATGTTATTTATACTGCAAGATTTACAATCGTGAAGTGAGTACGAAATTTCGAAAATTAATAAATCTAAAATTGTACGCTAAAATCCGCGCAAAAGTCGGTAATGCATATTTATCATGAAATCCAATTCGGATTAAATAAAATATTCTTATTTTTGTAAAGATGTAACTGCGAAATTGAAAACTGTACGTAAAGGCATTTTTCAAAAGAAGACAAGCTGATCGGCAAGTAGTAATGAATACGATAGAGTCAGACATCGTGCGCGCGTTTATTCACTATCTTTACCTAATTGTACCGAAGTGTTATTAATCTCTTGGCATCCTCCAAACTATTTCGTCTTGTTGCAAGCTGTAGGACTACCTCGTTCATTTAGAACGATAGCACGATTTGGTAACACTTATGTCACTTGAAAATCTCTTGTATCAAACTTTTCGCGCTGTATCCCGATCCCGGAATCATCAGTCAATTTCGCAATTGTTTATACTTTCATTGCGACGTTCAGTCGCATCATCCGTTCGCGAAATTTCCTCTCGGAAGACCGGCGAGTTTACGTCGGCGCGCTCGTTCCCGAGAAAATTTCCTCCCGAAATTCGGGACGCGTTTGCGATTCGCGAAAAATATGTTCGGCGAATTTGCAAATCATGCTCGCTCGCATATAATGTCGATCTTTGCGAGAAAGAGGGAGAGATAGAATGAGAGAGAAAGAGAAAAAAAAAAGAGACGGAACCGGGGGAGTCCCGAAGGATGAGCGAGAGAAGCGAGAGAGAATCGTACCGGACGCGTCGCGAGTGACGAGCGCACTGAGGATCCGGGCGTCCCGTGCGACTGCAGCCGCATGCGCGATGCAGAAAGCAGGTATATCTCCGGCTCCCAATTGTCCCGCTCGGTCTCGACCGGCGGATCTTTCGCACATCGCGCAGATTTCAGGATAAGCATGAGAAGCGCGTGGTCATGTGCTAAGAACAGATCTGTTCAAGTTCATCGTGCGGAAAGGCTCTTTACCCGACACGATGTTGCAACCGATACATTGTCATTCTTCTTCGCACTCAATGTACGCGTATATATTCGCAATATTTATAACTCACGTGGATACACGTGATCTATGAACGGAATTTCAGCATCTATTTTCAGCCTTCTCTTTTTTTGTACTTATTGTTAGCGAAGCGAATGCTTTCTCCTTTGTGTGGAGAAGAAAGCGTTTAAACTCGTGGGTGTAATCTTAAATAGGCTTAGAAGATTCCGCATTTAACGCGAAGCGGATGAATAAATCGAGGCGACAGCTGGAAAAAGGGACTACAAGGGACTGAAACCGTATTTTGAATGATACGTCTAAGGGCTTTATTCTTTGCATCAAATAGATATAAACTGTCAATACTATTGGCAGTTTTAGTGGAGAACTCGTTCGCCTTTTATGCATCGAATCTTTCATGTTCGATAAATATGTTTATCGAAAACTAGATTATGAGACATTTCCTCAAAAAACAAGTTTGTTCAAGGAAAAAACTTACAAAAGTATCAAATGGTATAAATGCCTCTGGAAATAAGATATAAATCATTTTAAACAAGTTTTATGATTCACTTAATATAAAATTTATAACTTTTCTCTCGCTGAAAAGAATTTATGTATAATTTTATTTATTTAAATTTTATAATAGTATAAAGAATTAGTTTTATACCTACTCTTTGATACTTTATATCACAAACTACAATCGTTATAAAAATATTTTATCTTAATTGTATATGTGTTCGCAGTATTCCTAAATATTATTTATTTTATATAAATTTATAGAAATACTTTATATTGATGATGCATTTAATAATCAGAAACAATTAGGATTGATGTTTTTTTATCTGTCAATATTTTATACTTGAAATTCGCCAGACTCACTTACTGTCATGCTTTGTACTCTGCACACATGTACACGCTTAGATATTGGTAACATTATTTTCATATTTCCCAGCTGCGCCTCGCCGATAAAAGGACGGAACGGAGTTTGCTACTTTTCCGTGAACCGCCCCCGAGAAAATGTCTCTGGCCAGCCACGAGGAAGATCCGGCTCGAGTCAGCCGAACTGTTTGCAAACCGCATCGGAGCGATAAGGGTTATTGATATAGAAAATTATTCTGGATAGGTAGCATTCTAAGCTGGCACGTGTTGCCGTCAACTATCACCACTGTTGTCTTCAGTTTTGAGAATAAATTATTATATTTGTGCATGTAAGTACACAAATAATTAAATGTATTATATACCAAATGTATCGAAGAAATTATCCCTCTATAAAATATTCTTTTGTAAATCCGATATATCATATACGACAACTTAATAGAGTTGCAGTTGATTAACAGATGTAGCGTTTTGCAAACATAAAATTAAATGTTTGTTAATATCAATTTTGTTGTCCGGTTTTCGTATTTTAAAATAAATTCCTTTTTTCCAAAATGATCAAACATCTATCAATATATTTTGTACGATTTAAATTAAATTATTATCTCGAAATACGATAAATATTAATATTTTGTGAAAAGTACTTATTAATCACATGATATAAAATATGAAATAAATCTGACGTTGCGAGGGACATTCGAATAAGATTTAAATCGAAATGCTGTGAACAAGGAAAAAGCTCCTGATTCATTCGCGCGTGCGTTTAAAATCGAAATAATGAATCCGACCGAGCGCTTGTATTTTTCGATTTTCATATGTAATTCGGCAATCATCGGGCAGCGAGATTTTCAAATCGCCCGGTTTTCTCTCCGGACCTCAATCCTGCGTATATTTCGACATACGGGCATTCGCGTCCGTGAACACCCAATATATGTAATATAATATTCGCGATTCACTGTATATCCGCGCATCGCTGAGATAGAAGAGTTCTCTGAATTTTTATTTGGTCGCGCTGAATGAAATTCCGACGAATCCGCCTACATCGGAATATTTCGTGCAAATCGCAGTTCGTATGTTTCCACGTATGACATTAACCATGTCTGTGACATTAAACGCCCACAATGTGTCACATTCATCGTGCTCATCCAACGGTAATTACAAACGATTACAATTTGCATTATAAAAAAGCACGTTGAAGGCGGCCTTGTAAAATATACATATATATCAGATTATGCATGCATGCACACGACACATTGCGATGTAAATGTATACAATTATTCGTGGACAAACTCCGTTCTATACAATAATTATTCTTTTCTTCCATTTATGCATTCTTATACATTGTTTGACAAAAAAAAAGAAGCAACGTGCTCCAGTAAAATAATTCTAGATCGAAAAATTTAGCATGTAAATATCTTATAGTTTGTAACAAAGAGAGATATTTTTATACAAATATGTGATTCTTGATATTGTCATTACATTATCTCTCAACATAATACATGCAAAGTATTAATGGGAAAACTTGGTTTGAGGTGCATTGATTTCTTTCTTGTCAAACAGTGTCTTTATAAAATTATAAGCAACTAATAAAAAAAAAGAAAAGATATGATGTTCTCTGTCAATCTAATGTAGCTGCAATATGCGTAATCTGCTTCGTTTAATATAGCGAGTTAAAGTTCACGTGACTGCAGCGCTCCAAAAGTTCGGAGATTCTCGGTTTATTACACATTCGGACCTCATCAAAATCAGAGTTAGACTCTATTATGTGCTCAAACTATTTCCATGCAGAAGTGTCCCTCTTAAACCATATTCGTGTTCACGAATGTAGTAACGCCGACTAAGCTTAGATTGCCACGTACACGCGCGTCGCTGCGAGAAAGGAGGTATTCAGAGACTAACAAACAAAACTTCACGTGTGACCGCGACACCGAATGCTATTGCAATATATTGCGATCCGCTCGGCCAAAGTTCACACAAGCAAAGGTCGGTGGACAGTGCACCACTCTGGTACATCGGAAACGGAATCATGCAAGGGAAACGAGTCGATCAAGTTTGGGGATTTCTTGGATAATAGAAGATTTTGTTTATTTTGCAATTATAGATCTGATAAATGGCGAAGACGAAGTTAATTCAGCGAAATAACACTTCCGCCTTATTTCCCGCAATATTTTCTGACTTGCGTAAAAAAAGCCTTGCTACTCTGATTTGTTACAAAATAATTCTAAAATTATCCTAATACAGAAATAATAATCCATCAGAGAACAGTCTTTTCAAGTTTTCTTCGCGACTTCGAGAAAAATAGCGTGATAAATTAACAATTATTAATTAAAAAATAATAAAAATTTTATGTTACTTATTTTCAAAAGCCATGTTTCTTATCAAACATTCCCTTTTCTCTCCTTCCTCGCTCATCCTCGTTTTTAATTAAAATAAAATTAGGGCACGTTGAAACATTAAATCGAAGTTTTCCGTCCACATTCGCAAAGGACTACGCATTTTCAAGATGTTTAAACGAATGCTGACGGATTGCGCAATGGCAATAAGCGCAGAGTTTGCAGAGCTATGGTGCTTAGATATCGGTCCGGGTCGAGTGTCAATTAGGACTTCAAGGATTGCCAGCACAGAGTGTAGTTAGAGCAAACGTCGGCCACAAAGTGCGGTCTTAACTCGCGCGGTATTCTGTTAATATTTATGTTGCACACTTGTATGTAGGTCGTGGTGCATAACGTTGATAGATCCGTCGAGCTGGTGTGAAGAGACAAGAAAGAGAGAGAGAGTGTGTGTGCGAGTGAGTGAATGAAAGAGAGAGAGAGAGAGAGAGAGAGAGGGAGAGAGGAGGAGAGAGAGAGAGAGAGGGAGAGAGGGAGAGAGAGAGAGAGGAAGGGGCAAAAAGAGCCGCGAGAGATTTTAGGGAAAAATGAACTTCAGAGTCAACAGAGAGAATGCAGAGATCGATGCGCTTGAATACGCGCATTAAAAAAAAGACGCTACACGCCGTCGAGCACTGCGGCAATGTTATTATGCACCACCAAATATTTCATGCTTATGCGCGATATTATCCTTGCGTGTTGGAATTATGGAGCGCGCCTTGATACTTACAATTAAACACGCCGCGCGGAATAATGCCGCAGCGGTTCATTATCTTTTATCTACATTTTGCGTTACATGTTAAATCAAATGTCGCACTTAAGTCACACGGTTAAGTTAAATAAGCACTTAAATTAAAGGTCGATGAATACATTCTATTTTTATCACAACAATGAGTAAAATTACCTTTCATTAGAAAGTTAAATTTCACGGCTCTTTTCATTCAATGAATCGTGCTTTACTATATTTTCACGCCACATTGATACATTTTTCCGTAAAAGTGGATGTAATTTATTACTTTTGTGTAACAATAGTTGATTTTTCACGGGTATTAGCGCAATGTATTTAATGATCACGTACCGTAACTATTCAGATATCGCGATTATACCTCGGGTGTCTTTTGTCATTTTCCGCATGCCACGTAACATCGAAGCTCGGCACATGACAAAAGCGGATGAAGCACCGCAGTTATGTGCGTAATTCCGTTAATTACATGACTTGGCCATAACAATTACGATCGTCGATCGTTGCGATGAAATTAGAGCGACCTTAGAAAAGCATCTATCGAAGTACACAATAAAGCATTATATCTCAATACAAGTATCATAATAAAAATATTAACTATGCTGAATCTAGCAATTGTCAAATTGTCATCATATATATATATATATATATATATATATAGATTAATCTTAAAAAATAATTTTTCGAGATCATAACTTCTCGTAAACGGAAAAAAATATTATTGAAAAGTCTATTTTTTTTCATTTCAAGAATAAAAAAAATTAATAAA